ACAGAGGTTGGGAAAAGATGGCTGATAAAAAAACGGCTGGGGCGGGCCCGGGGGCGCCCTGCTCCGGTGCGCCACTTGGGAGTGCGGCGGCGCTCCCGCCGACGGTTCGGATCCCACATACAGACCAGCTGCTCACTGGCTGAGCAAGGTGCGGGCGCAACACCAAGGGTTGTGATCCGTTGCCGGTCACGAAAAAAGACAAAAAGGAAAAAAAAATCTATAAATTCGATATGATCCTAATAAAAATCTAATAGGATTTTCTGTGAGTTAGGGAAGAACTAGATTAACTATTCTAAGTTCCCAGTGAAAAAGAACCATGTGAAATTGCCAGGAAAATGCTAAAGAAGAAGGGCAATGAGAGAAGATTAGTTGACGAAGATATTAAAGTAAATCACAAATATAGAAATCAAAACAATGTGGAAAAGACAGAACATCGGACAGGATAGAATACAGAAACAGCCCCCCAAACAAACTCAAATGTCAAGACGCAGATACATATGTCAATTCCTAAGATACAAGTACAAATATAAAATGACCAGGATAGCATTTCAAACCAGTGAGAGAAAGCTGAGTTATTCAATGAATAGAGCTGTCTGGTTATTTCATTTCTTATTCAACACACACACAGATTAAATGTTAAAAAAAAAAAGAAAAAAGGAAACTAAAGAAATTTTGAAAAACACATCAGTATTAAAAAATTCATCTTGGAACAAAGAATTCTTTTCCAAATAAAATTCAAAAACCCTAAAACCATAAAAGAAAATATTGATAAACATTACTTCTGTACATAAAAAGTGAACATTTCATTATAGGACAAAATGCTATATCAAAACAAAAGGTAAATGATAAACTGGGAGAAAATATCTCTAACACAGATGACCAAAAAGAGCATGTTTACTTAACGTATGAGAGCTCTTATGAGTAGGAAATGATTAACAACCCCAAAGAAATATGGACAGTGATTATAAATAGACAACTTACAGAAAGAGAGGAATAAGTGGCAAATAAATATGTAAAAAGATACTAGACATCACTTAGGAAAATTCCAGTTAAGGCAACAGTGACATTCTCCTGCCAGACTGGCAAAGATGAAAAATGTTGCTAAT